TCGAGGAGCACTTTGCCCAGGTGGCCCCCAGGATAGGCGGAATAGCGTCCTCGCTGGCGTGGCTGCTGCCCAACCTGGGGGGGGCCGGACGGCCGTATCCGCAAGCTTTATGTGGACACGGTCAGATCGGTGGTTCTTTACGGCACCGATCTGGGCGGGTGCTGCCTCGGGGTCCAACAAGATCAGGGGCGTACTGATATGGGGGGCACACCGCCCCATAGTTTTAAGAACCGCGCGGTCGCATATGCGGCGGTGATGGTGCTGGCGGGGTCCCCTCCCCTGGAGCTCCTGGCCTAAGCCCGGGCCGAGATGTACTGGGGGATTAGAGAGCTCCGGAGGGGGGAATTATGGTGGGGCCGGGGACCAAGAGGGCCATCAGGTTGAAGGCGGCAGACTCGGTCCTCGTGGACTGGCAGCGGCAACTGGCCGTGGTTATCGGGCACGGGTGCTTCGGTCACTACCTGTGCCACATCGGGAGGGAACCAACCCCCAGGTGCCACCACTGCGAGGAGGACCGGGACACGGCGCAGCACACCCTCGAAGCCTGCTCGGTCTGGGAGGTGCAGCGCCGTGCCCTGGTCGCAGTGGTGAGAGCTGACCTCTCTCCCTCGGCGCCATCATTGAGGCGATGCTAAGGGGGGAGGAGGAATGGCGGGCAGTGGCCTCCTTTTGTGAGGTCATGCGGAGCAAGGAGGAGGCGGAGAGGGATCGGCGAATGATGTCCGCCCCAATGGCAGCACAGAGAAGAGCAGCGGCCAGGAGGACCCGACGGAGGAGGAGGAGCCTGATTGGGCCTCCGGTCCCACCGCTGGACAGGGACTGAATGAGAGGAGGGGCCTTGTCAAAACCCACTCTTCCCTTCACTGCAGGCTTGGCGGACAGAGAGTGAGAGGAAAGTTCCCCCCTCCCTCCCCCCACCACGGCATAAAAAGAGGCCCCGTTCAGGGGCCGCGGCGAGGGGGCCCCGGTGTGGAGCGGGGAGATCTCCCACCGGGACAGAACCCTATTAGACGGAGCCGGGAGGCGGACGGGTGTCCTCCCTCCCAGCTACAGTGGAGGAATGGCGGTGGGGGGATCGCGGAAGAATGCCCTCGGCGTGCCCGTGGCCCCCCGTGACACCGCGGTGGAGGATACCCGCAGGAGTTTTAGTCGGTGCGAGTCCGACATAACCCCTTTCCTTCCCCGAGGAGAGGGGTATGCATAAGGCATTTCTCCTGCGTATCAAAAAAAAAAGAGAGAGAATGTATGTGTTCGCATGGTGTGTCTGTATGTGTATAGCGACCAGCTGATCGCAGCAGGCGCCCCGCGTAAGCGCCCGCGTCTGACAGTGAATCGCGTCATCCTTGCCTGCCTCTTGTATCCGACCCGTCATGCGTTAACTACTTTCTTTAATAATTCGAAAACTAAGCTTCGGACGAAATTTTGCAAAAGGAAAAATCATCTTAGAATTGACTCAACAATGTGTCATTTCACGGACACAGGGGTTATTTTGAATCATCCCTGTATATATATATATCCCTGTATATATATATATATATATATATATATATATATAGACCATGTTCCAAAATTGCTGCCAGTTTACTGCCAGCACTGAAAATATATAATATACGTAACGTGCACTATAGAATTTGCAGTACTGGCAGTAATTTCGGAACACGGCCACAGTTTGTAGGCAGCGCGCGCAACCGACTTATTGTTAGATTAGTTTACGCGGTAAACCGACGACCGGTCTACGACTCAGATCCCCTCTTATAATCTTGTGAAAGGACAGAGTTGGAAGAGTTAAAGGCGCGAAACTTATAACTCGAACGAATATTGTTGCGTTTTTGTGAAAGTCAAACAGATAGCAAGATAGAAATTATTTGACAGAAGACAAGGTAAGGAAACAACAATTTTAAGGTTATGTATGTGGACACGTGTACATTAAATAATTTTATTTTCGATTAGATGGACGATAAAAACATGGAACGTTCCGCGTCGTTCGTTTCACAGACGAAAACTCAAATTCTAACAGAATTTGGTTCCACTCTCATGGATGCATAAAGATAAAGAGAACAGATATACCTGTCTATACCCAGGTCCTTGTGATTACCAGCATATTGAGAGCTGGCTACTATCTTTGAAAGAGCCCGAAGAACACTGGGAATCTTTTTCAAGAAAAGTCATTTCATATGCAAGTACGTAATAATATTTATTAATAGTTTGTTTATAAATTTATCTGCGGTTACTGTCATTTTTTTTCTTTTTAAATAATTAGAAGATTTGAAACAAGAGAAAAGACGGCTCAAACGAGCCTTAAAATCCGATGAAATTCAATGCACTGATGACGGATGTACTGAAAGCCGACCTATTTAAATGTCCACAGATGTCATCGAAAAAAGTTTGAATGCTGTAAAACCCTTGCACTGCTATAAACTTTTGGCATCAGTAAATTCATTGCTTAACATCCAGCCAAAAACGGAAAACAATTCAAGTATATAAATTTTTTTCAGCTTTGTAAAAAGTAAAACTGTATGACTGATTAGAAACTTTAAATGCGAAAAAATCAATTTATGTTTAATACATGCTTTTAGAAACCTAATTCTTAGGAAAGTCTTAGTATATCTAGATTAAATAATTTCATGCAATTTATTTGATACTACTTTTTCAACACAATAACATCATTTCAAGTATAGCGTTATTTATTGTTCAGTTATTAATACAATGAAGGGCTGAAACGTATGATCTTCTTTTTTAATTTCAATAAATATAATAAGCACATACATCTAGCTATGATTCGTAGCTTTTTTACTATATCATCAATTTTATATATAATTTTTATATTTTAGGTATATGCTTGACGAATTAACTAGCAAACCAAATAATAGATGTGGTGCAAATGATAAATGTTCTTTTTTCAGAGGAAATTGCCGCAACAGATATACCATTGAGTAAGTACTCAAAATTTTATTAAATATGTATTGCTTTTAGATCTATCAGATCTCTAATTTATTCAATAATTTTTATTCAATAAATTTTTTTAGTTTCAGAGAATGTTTCCGTTAGAAAGGAACATATAGACGACAAGTTTGAAGAATTACAAAAAGCAATATCAAGTCAAATAGTTTCTGTCAAAAGAAGCGTTTTATACGATTTGGAAAAAAAATTAATGAAGTCAAACATACACTTTTACTAAACAATCCAACAGGAACTAATATGGTACAAGATGGTATAGAGAAAATCAAAAGCGACTTGAAAATAATTTTGCCCACAGTAACGTTAGAGGATTTTTTGCAATTTGAAAATTTGTTAAAGAATTCTGAAAACAACAGAAAATTATTAGTAAGTAATTTTAAATAAGTAGAAAATATAGCTCAACGTTATTTATAAACAAATTTTTTAATGTTTTAATTTTGTTACAGATGTCACTGTTTCGAACTTTAATTGCTGGTGATGCAGCCGTAAAAGACAGCATTGCTACAGCTTTAGGCTCAGTGATGGTCAAAGCGATCCAATTGTAATATTCGGGGATTGGAAGAATAATTCACAAGGAAAAAAAAATTTCAGTGAGATGAACACATATCTATGTTTAAGAGGTAGAATTTCTTTTAATATCAACCTTATGTTTTATATGACAAGAATATTTATTATGTAATATATTTTGCTTTGATTGACAAATACGGAAATACTCTGGATGTAAAAAGATTACCAGGCCAGGTGGGCATATTGTCCCAAGCTGGCGACTGAGAAAGCGGCCGAAAACAGCAACAAAAAGATAAAACAACTACTCCTATTTAAAGCAATAAAATATATATACAGGGTGAGTCATTTTAATAAATACACTCGAATATCTCGAAAACAGCACTCTTCAGAAAGAAATGATTCAAACAAAAATTGTAGGGTGTGAAGGGAGACATAAGATGGTAGCATTGGTTTGACCTTGGAAAGTCATTTGAAGGTCACATAAAAGTCACCTTCAATTTCTTAAATTGAATCCACTATTTTTCATTACATATTCTTGTAGCTTATCTCGAGAGCTTTCCAAAACACTACAGACAAATGTTTTTTCCTTAAGTACTTTTTGAGTTATAAGGCTTCAAAGTTTGCAGTACTTCGATATAAAATGCAAAATATCTCGTAAAATATTTAGTTTTCGGTAGTCTTACCCTAATACTTTTATGCACAGGATAATGAGACAAAATTATTGGTGCAAAGAAAACGCATGATTGTTTATAACAAAAAGTGCATTGCAAATTACACATTTTTTATTATAAACAATCATACGTTTTCTTTGCACCAATAGTTTTGTCTCATTATCCTGTGCATAAAAGTATTAGGGTAAGACTACCGAAAACTAAATATTTTACGAGATATTTTGCATTTTATATCGAAGTACTGCAAACTTTGAAGCCTTATAACTCGCCTCACCAGGCCACCGAGAGAGCCACCTGGGACATCCGGACAAGGCGCTACACCTCGCCTTCAGCATCCTGGGCAGTTCCAGAGGCACTGTCTCCTCTGTCGCCTTCACCGCTCCACCGGACGACCCAGGGGACGCAGACCACCGCAGCCAGCCGGGTACACCGAGGAGTCCAGGTGACTCAACCGCCGAAATCCACGGCGGACCGGGAGACCCAGTCCGACTCCGACTGGGAAACGCCCACGAGCTCCGTGGCCACGCAGACGGAGCCGCCAAAGCGCCGCAAACCGGTGGACGTCAACAACAACGACGACAACGGCTCCTGGGGACCTCTCCGCTACACCAAGGCGACTCCGCGGATATCTTATCGCGAGCGCGCCGATCTCAACGGCCCTTTTCAGGGCCCTGTAAATAAACTTGTAAATAGACACATGAAATAAACTGTACATAGATCCATACTGTGACTAAATAATTCAAGCGGAAACCTCGTCAACCTTGCGGCCAGTAACGCATCCTCTTCCGGCTAAGCATAGAGCGGACAAGCAACCTATATACGCCCATAAACTGGTGACCCATCGACGTAGGAAAACGTACGACCATGCCAAAGAAGGAGAGCACCATCTTAGTGGAGGACGACGAGACCGTCAACAGAGTCGCAGTGCGCATCCCGCCTTTCTGGTCAGAAGATCCAGAGCTGTGGTTTGCCCAACTGGAAGAGCAGTTCATGCTAGGCGCTATCACCGATGACGACGTCAAATATGGCTACGTTTTGTCGAAGCTAGAGCCACGACAGGCAAGGGAGATCAAAGATGTAATCACCAATCCCCCCTCCAGCAACAAATATCCAGCTATAAAGCACGCGTTGATTCAACGACTAACAGATTCACAAGAGCAGCGGATCAGGCAGCTTCTGGAGAGAGAGGAGCTTGGAGACAGGAAGCCTTCGCAATTTCTGCGACACCTATCCACCCTGGCAGGAACGACAGTCTCCGACGACTTGCTGCGGACACTCTGGCTAGGGCGTCTTCCACCGCAGACGCAAGCAATCCTCGCAATAAGGAAAGGCGACAAGCTGCAAGACGTAGCAGAACAGGCGGACCGCATCCATGAGGTCGACAATAGAGCTCTCGTTCTCGCCACAGATCATCGGCCAGCAGCAGCAGCAACAACAGCGGCAGCAACAACCAGCAGCCAGAGTACGCTGACTACGCAGATGGAGGCACTCACCCTGCAAGTAGCAACTCTCACCGCACAACTGACGAACATGGCCAAAGAACTACGGAGAGGACGCAGCCGAGCACGAAGCCGGTCAAGGAGCAGACCTCGCAGCAGAACACCAGCCAAAGAGGGTCTTTGTTATTACCACCGACGATTCGGTGCAGAAGCTCGCCGATGCACTCAGCCATGCACGTTCCAGAAAAACGAGTAGGGCATTCATTGTTAGCGGCCAATGACAAAAGCCCGACACACTGCCGCTTATACGTAACAGACCGGAACACAAGAACGAAATACTTGGTGGACACCGGCTCGGACGTCAGCGTTTTCCCGCAAACAACGATGAACGGCAGAAGACGACCAGAAGCATAGGAACTCTTCGCGGCAAACGGCACACCCATCATCACGTACGGCTCCATCACCATTAAACCAGATTTCAACTTGAGGAGAGCATTCCCATGGAGGTTCGTGGTAGCCGACGTGGGACAGCCTATAATCGGAGCAGATTTTCTGGCACATTACGACCTGCTTCCAGACATGAAACGCGGAAAACTTATAGACGGGAAGACAGGCCTAGCAGCCGCAGGCGCCAGGTGCTGCCAATCAATATCGTCAATCAAGACGACGATAGGAGAAAGCGAATTCCACACAATATTGACGAAATTTCCGGACATCACCAAACCAACCAGAACCAAGGAGGTGATAGCACACGGAACGCAGCATTACAGATAAACTACGCGCAGCCAAAGTAGAGTTCGATTTACTCCTGCAAGAAGGCGTCATTCAGCCCTCAAAAAGCGCTTGGTCGTCACCACTTCACATGGTGCCAAAAAAGGACAAGACGTGGCGTCCATGTGGGGACTACAGGAGATTGAACGCCAGAACAATACCTGACCAATACCCGATATCACACATCGAGGATTTTGCACAGACGCTCTACCAGAAAAAGGTTTTCACCACGATCGATCTGGTCAGAGCCTACAATCAAATCCCGATACGAGAAGAGGATATACCGAAAACGGCGATAACCACACCGTTCGGATTGTTCGAGTTCAGATTCATGCCGTTTGGATTACGAAACGCAGCACAGACGTTCCAACGGTTCATCAACGAGGTCTTACACGGGTTGGACTTCTGCTACGCGTATATCGATGATATACTGGTGGCATCATCAAATAAAGAGCAACACAAAGTCCACTTAAACCAGTTGTTCACCCGACTCGACGAGTACGGGGTCAGGATCAATCCAGCTAAATGCATCTTCGGCGCAGACGAGGTGAAGTTCCTTGGCTACCTGGTCACGGAAAAAGGAACGCAACCACTGCCAGAGAAGATAGAAGCAATCAAGAGTTTCCCTCGGCCAACTACCGTTAAACAATTGCGGCAGTTCCTAGGGATGATTAACTTTTACCGAAGGTTCATCCTGGGAGCAGCGGAAGATCAAGCCACACTAAACGATGTGCTTAAAGGACTTAAGGTCAAAGGAACAACGCCAGTAAATTAAGGGCCAGAGCAAGCACAAGCCTTCGATCAGTGCAAGGAAAGCCTGTCGAGAGTCACGCTTTTAGCTCACCCGGACCCGGCAGCGAAATTAGTAGTGACAACAGACGCTTCAGACACGGCCATGGGTGCCGTGATCCAGCAAAGAACCGCTGACGGATAGCAGCCACTGGCATTCCTGAGCAAGAAGTTTAGCACAGCTCAAACAAAGTACAGTCCATATGACAGGGAACTGCTAGCTATCTACATGACCATCAAGCACTACCGACACTTGTTAGAAGGCAGAATATTCACTATATTCACTGACCATAAGCCGCTAATCTACGCTTTCAAGAAAGATCCACTGCAAAGTTCGCCGAGGCAAGCAAGACATTTGGAGTACATTGGGCAATTTTCAACGGACATCCAACATATTGAAGGAAAAAACAACACAGTGGCCGCCGCATTATCACGAGTGGAGACGATACACTCAGCAATAGATTTGGAGACTATAGCTCGCGAACAGCAACTCGACGCAGAATTAGAAGAGCTACTGGGAGATAAAGAGAAAATTAAACTTACACGTATCTCAATACCAGGGTCAGCGAGGACAGTTTGGTGCGACACGAGCACAATAATTGTTAGACCATACGTGCCGAAGAGTATAAGAGAGAAAATCTTACAGTACGTGCATGGACTGGCACACCCGGGAACGAAAGCCTCGGCAAAGCTGGTCAAAGAAAGATACGTCTGGCCAGGAATACAGAGAGATTGCATGAGCTGGGCGAAAACATGCATACAGTGTCAAAAAGATTACGAGACACAACCACACACCAACAGGAACTTTTCAACAACCAACAAGACGATTCCAGCATATACACACGGATATCGTAGGACCACTGCCAGTGTCGGAAGGACACAGATACTGCCTCACCATCGTGGATAGGTTCACGCGGTGGGCAGAAGCAATCCCGATACCGAACATCACGGCAGAAACCGTCGCTAAGCATATTTTTTCAGCCTGGATAGCACGATTCGGCACACTAGCTCGAATAACTACGAACCAGGGCCGGCAATTCGAAGCTGAGCTTTTCCAGAAGTTGACAAAGATGACGGGCACAAAACACATCAGAACGACAGCCTACCACCCAGAAGCAAACGGGATGGTAGAGAGGTTCCACCGGCAGTTGAAGGCAGCCATCAGATGCCACGAAACGGAAGCCTGGACCCAGACGTTACCAGTCATCCTCCTCGGCATCAGGGCAACCTGGAAGGAGGACCTGAAGTCCACACCAGCCGAAATGGTGTACGGAGAGCCAATCCGGTTGCCAGGACAGTTCCTCTGTGGCCACAACGGCAACTACGAAGCAGGAGACACCGTGGTAACCAGGCTTCGACGAACGATGACACGACTGCAGCCTCAGGTCAGACGACACGGACAGAGGGCAACGTTTATCTTCAAGGACATGGAGACGACTTCCCATGTGTTCGTATGACACGACGCGCCAGCAGGAGCCCTCCACCAGCCCTATGACGGTCCCTTTGAGGTGTTAAACCGAGGCACGAAGACATACAAACTAAGAATCAGGGGAAAAGCAGTCAACATCACAGTGGATAGGCTTAAACCAGCCTATATTCTGGCGGAAGAGCTCCCTACCAACACACAGCGCAAGGCGAATACGGAGCCCGCCAAGACCACTGAAACGAGAGGATCGACCAGATCAGGACGAGCGGTGCGCCAACCCATCCGATTCAAGCCAGCTTAAATCAACCTTGGGCTTTAATACATCCAGGGGAGTCCTGTGGCGTTCTGCCATACGCCACACAGGCGTAACGGCGTACAGCGCCGAGCGCCTGAACGCGCGGCAACCTAGGCGCGCAAACTAGCGCGCGGCAGCACGGGCATACAGGCGCCGATCTTTGCGCAAGTGAAATCCGGCAGGGCCCGTATATAAGGCCGACCGCGAGAAGCCGAATTTGAGTCTCAGCTCGGAGCATTTGCAGGGTCAATAACACTGCACATTATTCAGCTTGAGTACTCCTCTTTTGTGGTAACCGGAGAGTCAGACATCCGAGAATATTCGCCGCCAGCCGAGTCGCATTCCAGCGTCGACGCCCCGATCACCTGGGCCATTTCGACCGTCGAACGGAGCAGCTGCCGAGCAGGAGAGGAGGGTGTCATTCTCCTTGCTGCCGTGGACACTGCAGCTGATCGACCTGGAGCCACCTCGCCTCACCAGGCCACCGAGAGAGCCACCTGAGACATCCGGACAAGGCGCTACACCTCGCCTTCAGCATCCTGGGCAGTTCCAGAGGCACTGTCTCCTCTGCCGCCTTCACCGCTCCACCGGACGACCCAGGGGACGCAGACCACCGCAGCCAGCCGGGTACACCGAGGAGTCCAGGTGACTCAGCCGCCGAAATCCACGGCGGACCGGGAGACCCAGTCCGACTCCGACTGGGAAACGCCCACGAGCTCCGTGGCCACGCAGACGGAGCCGCCAAAGCGCCGCAAACCGGTGGACGTCAACAACAACGACGACAACGGCTCCTGGGGACCTCTCCGCTACACCAAAGCGACTCCGCGGATATCTTATCGCGAGCGCGCCGATCTCAACGGCCCTTTTCAGGGCCCTGTAAATAAACTTGTAAATAGACACATGAAATAAACTGTACATAGATCCATACTGTGACTAAATAATTCAAGCGGAAACCTCGTCAACCTTGCGGCCAGTAACGCATCCTCTTCCGGCTAAGCATAGAGCGGACAAGCAACCTATATACGCCCATATATATATATATATATAATATATATATATATAATATATATATATATATATATATACTATATATATACTATATATATATATGTATATATATATATATATATATACACACACATATATGCATATATATATATATATATATATATATATATACATTATTTATAAATAACATATATGTATTAAACATATATGTATTTATAACAAAGAAATCTCTTTGAATATCCTGAAGTTTCTACGTTCGCGCCAGAAATTATTGTTAATCGAAAACTCAAACTGTCGTTTAGCAACGGAAAGGTTTGGCGCGAAGTTAGAGCTCTTAGATAGGCTGAATCACGTCAAAGTCTCTATGATTGGTCATACTTTTACCGGTAGTTTGCATGAACCGCACGCAGCTTTCAGTCATATTTATTCTTAGGTTAACCATTGCAGTAGTGTGGCGAGCAGCAGTGGAATTACGAAGAATTATAAGCAAAAATAAGGAGACGTGGTTTCATCGTTTTCAATAGCATATATTAACAAGGAAAGTAAACATGGAATTTAATAATTTAAAGCTTTCTATTTCGCGAAAATCATTATTTAGTTTGTCTAAAAAGCAACGAGGTAAAATTTTGAAAGAGGTTAGAAAGAATTTACGTTTTCCATTATAAAAAATGTTCTATTATTAGAAAGTCAATCATTAACCGTGATATTCATGATATTCGTGGTTCGTCATTTTCCTTCTCTGTGGATAATGTAAATGACATTGACGATTATGGACATGACAATGATAATTTGTCTTCTTCTTCTTCGTCATTTTCGTTTTCTTCTTCTTCGTCATCTTTTTTGTCCAATGCTTCATTCTGTGAAACAATTCAGATTGAACCATCCTTCCGCGATCGTTTGGCATCTTATTGCGTAGATAATAATTTACCGCACATACAAGGCAATAATATATAGAATCTTCTCCGTACACATTCTTGTTTTAATAAATTACCGAAAGATATTAGAACACTTTTAGATACACCGCGTGCACGTGTTATTACATTTAATATACCAGGAAAATATGTTCATTTTGATTCCGAAGTAGGGATAATTCAAAATCTGTGTAATACTACCATTATTGTTAAT